AGTGGTTATAACTTCGACTTCGATCCTACTTCGAAAAATTTTTTCAATAAACGTGACGCAGATTCCGTAGATTTCTACCTTAGACCCATTCTGTAATTAATATGGCACTTCAAATAAAACTTAAACATACCATATATTTTAAGATTTTTTTTGCAAAAAAATGCTTTCATCATCTATACTTTTCATAATGATCGCCTTGGGAATGGGTAGTAATGACTCAGAAATAACTCTATGTCATCAATTGCTTCCTAATAACCTGTCGTTAGGGATCGGTGCCGGAGGCTGGTCATCATGCAATCCATTGAACCAACATTTATCATTGAGCGGTGATTTGTTTGGTAGAATTTGTTCACACGAGCAAAATTTTGGTCTAAAATGTTCCAAAAAACTTCTGAAGTGTAGTTCTAGTATTGCATTATGTATAGAAGAAAATCCTCTCTACGATTCTCAGTTGAAAATGTACAAACGTTTACGATACCGTATGGCACATTGGTCCTCTTTTAAATTTAATTCAACATTGGCATTCGCACGTCGGTTACGACCACCGAACGGTGGAGACAACGGTGCATTCGATGCTCTATCTAATGCTTGGCTTCGCCGTCATCATTCCAAAGCTTACAAGCGCATTGAAAGTTCATTGAAAAAACGCAAAATTAATCAAGCAACTCTCTCATGTATCATGGTTCAGCTTTGTCGCTTATTGAACTCCAATAATTCCAATCAAGGTTTTCGTTCTTCCATTCAACTGATAGGTCGGGTTAAAACTATCTATTCAATATGGAGCAAAGAACAACGTATCGCTTCGGCAAAAGAGAAAAATATAGTTGTTATGGATCAATTATCAATTAAAATAGTGGTCGACACAATAGATGATTGTTACGCTGTCCAAAACATACTCACGCAAAACTTCAAGGTTTCAAAGATAAAGGATTATATTTTAAAACCAAAAAGCAGTGGTTATCAAGCTATTCATGTCATTCTCTTTGGTTTTCAAAAAGATCAATTTGTTGAATTACAAATAGTTACCCATACTATAAATCAAGCACAGATCGCCGATGACCATAGTCAATATAAAACTATACAAGACACTTTTCTCTATGAATAATCACATTTTGATGATCAATTAGTTATTTGTATTCACAATTTTCCGCATTCAATTTATAGTAGACTAAAACAACTGCTCTTCATTCTCGGCTTTACGTTCCCTGCTTGATTTAAAACACAGAAATAAAATAATTTGCACAGTCTAAAACATCTCTTTAGTTAATTGTTTAATGAATGTTGCTTCGAAATGCTATTAATCTTTCCAATAGATAAGAAAAATCTTCTATAATATTGTTCTTTAGCTCATAGAAACTATTAGTTTTCTTTTAAATTAATTCATACTAACAAAGACTGTGTTTATTTAAAATGATAAATTTATCCTGAAATTATTTATCAATATTGTTTCCAAATGATTTTCATATGAAAATAATTTAAAAACTCACTAAGCAGTAAGTAGATAAATTTCTAAAGATTTTTTTATGAATTCAAGTGATTTATCAGGAATTGTAGATTAAAGTTTGTTCATAAGATGAAAATAAGATTGTGTTTGCTTTTCTTTCTCTGTTAAATGAGATATCTCTTCATCAGCACATAATCTTTTCATCTTGCAATAAATTAGGTCATTAGAATTATTTTGCTAGAAATAAATGTCAGCAATAATGAAATGACATTCGTTATAAAATTGTGAGACATTCAATTGATATTTTTTCTTCATCAAATATATGTTTTTCATATATATGTCGTAGGATAGATTAAAACGCAGTTCAGTCTAAAATTGTCCTACTTCAGATTAAAATATTTTGAACTAACCTAGGAAAAACTAAAACATATCTGAACTATTATATTGTATGGTAGTGACGTAACCAGAAATTTAAGGGTAATGAGGCTCGGTCTCAGGCTATGCTTAGCATTTTGTAGTCACTTATTAGTTTATATGTGTAGAAATTGACGATTATCAACTCTCAGACATAATATCAGAATGAAGTTCAACAGCTACGTTGTCATACTGAGTAGTCTTGATGAGTGACAAATTAATTTCTGGATGTGAATAAAATACGTTAAAGAAAAAACAAGATGACTTTTATTTCAACATAATACGACTATTTTGATAAATGTCAGAAAATTTATCAATAAGCTGCTCAAAATTTACATCAATATTAAGTTCGACAGCTAACAGGCATAAATCGCTCAGACGATCATGAGTCATGGTATTTCTCATTGTTGTTTTGATAAGCTTCATCTTTGAAAAAGTTCGTTTGCAAGTCGTGGGAGAGACCGGAATAGAAATCGCGATTTCAATAAGTGCAACAAGTGTTTGAAAAGCTCCTTTAAAAGGATATAACTCTTGATATAAATCAATTATAGTTGTCAAAGGTCTTTTTTTGTAACATGAGTTTCGCAACATCTAATTCATTAGGGTGTAGGTGTGTGTGTGGGTGTAGATGTGCTTTTAGATACACTTTCACACATCCACACCCTCATTTCAGTAGACAGTAAAATTCTATAATATATGAGTAAATAATCTCGATTTTTGCTGTATTTTTCTAGACAGTGTTGTAAACTAAAGGATAATAAAATTTTTGAAGCTATGCTTTTCATGGTTTCATCAACATTTAAATAAAAATGATCAAAACAAAAAGAGAAGATCATAATAATGATGATTTTTCATACAATGGTTTATATTTTCTTTAATTGAAAAAATCTTTGCTGATTTCCATTGACTTTTCTCAACAGCTTATATAGTAGCAACGATGAAGTGAGAAACAACACCATTAGGAAGGTGTGCTATTGAAAAAACGATTTAATAATCATCAAGTGAAAACGAAAATAACAAAATTAAAACAATAAATAAACCATGTGGAGCAGAGGTGTGCACCACTCGGTGTGGGTGTGGGTGGGATTAAAGAGAAGAAAACACCTGCACCAACACACCTCCATCCCCACCCCCACACCACACACCCAAATGTGGGTATGAGTGTGTATGTTTGAGTAGATCGTTCTTCTTCAACCTTCCACACCCACACTTTTGCTCACAAGGAGCCTCTAAAGATATGAGTGTGGGTGTGGACTATGCTACACCTACATCCACGCTTACCCCACACTTTCTATGCTCTAATACATAGGTACAGTGGAAAGATTTTTTCATCGCTTCAACTGTCAATTATATGCATGACAGCACGTTGACTTTGTTTACTTGAAAGGAATAAAGAAGAGAAAAAATATGAGCGTATATAACGAATACATACATGCTGAAAGAAAAATAGACAACCATATAATCTATATATATAATGTTCAGTGTCTGTCTGTTTGTTTGTCTGTCTGTGCCGGGTTAAAGGTTAAAGGTCAAAGGTCAAAGGCTAAAGGTCAAAGGTCAAATAAGGCTCTGAGGGAGAGATCTCCAGGGGCTATTTTATGGGACACTTATACATCCTCAAGGGCTATCCTAAGAGGGTACCCATAGGTCCTCCAAGGCTATTCTACGAGGGTACCCATAAGTTCTCAAGGGCTATCCTCTTGGGATACCCATAGGTCTCGAAGGCCTATTCTATGGGGGTATCCAAAGGTCCTCAAGAGCTATGCTATGGGGGTATCCATAGGTCCTCAGCGGCTATCCTAAGAGGGTACC